ACTTCTGCTGCTTTTCATCTGTCAACTCAACTTGTTTCTAAGAGAGCATTTCAACTAAGAATCTAAAAATGAAAAAGAAATAGACATTCTGACAGTGGTCTTTGGGGTGCGTTTATTCAGTCATGGCCACATTCAGTTTGTAGATCAGATGGTGGGTTAACACAATCTCATGAATTATGCCATTTATTGGATATCTTAGAGTTGTAGTACCAGGAAAGGCACCCAATATCATCACAACAACAACAAAAACCCACTGCTAATCAAAGTGTTTAACATGCTCCTTATCCAGTCAGACATCCAGGGGACTTCCAGAAATTTCAAAACTGCAATGTTTTCATGATATGAGATTATTATCCATTTGTTTTATCCATGATTAATCCAGAAAGCATGAATAATCATGAATCATTGTGGTAAAATAGCCTGGCCATACTCAAGATCACAGCTAGTGTCAAACTCCTGGCCATACTCAAGATCACAGCTAGTGTCAAACTCCTTTGTATGTAGGGTGTCCACAAAATTTGTGTGTGATTTTAAAATAGTGGTATATTTTAAAATTGCACATGAACTTTGTAGACACACTGTATAATAGAGGAAAGGTGTACAAAGTCATGATGATTTTATAACCTGGAAAGCCCCAGGGTTGGCAACTACTAATAGTGGAGCAAATACTTCAGTTAGTACTAAAGCCAATAGCAATTCCATAGCAGACATCCCCCATCCAGGAGCTGCAGCAAGTACTGCTGATGGCACTCGACGCTTCTACCAAGATCTCCTCCTGCCACTGCCACTCAGTGTGCAGGAAGAAAGGACGCCTGTCTGGGTGGCTCACTTTGCTTCTCTTACCTTTGAGCATCACTCAAGGGAATTTTTGTCTCTAATGAATCCCAAGTGAGACTACCAGATAAAAATCTTCTAATTTTGGAACTCCATTCAGCTATTGACATTCATAATGAAAAAGTTTAACTATAGCTATGGTGATTTTTTTCATATTGATTAAGATACAGGAAGAAAACTGTTTATTTTCTCTAAAAGGATGAAAAGCTAAGAACTTTGATGGGAGAAGTCTCAACATTGTTTCACAACTCCCGTCTCCTTGGGCCATAGCACCCTGTCAGACAGCCAGCATATTCGGTTATTAAATGACTAAGCCAGGCGGGTCTTTTTTCTTTGTTGTCTTTGGAAATGTTTCATTTTGTTAGCATTTCAGGAGATTATAACGTGCTACAGCTCGGTTTCCGAGAAATTTGCTGATTTATCTGTCTACTCAAAACAAGCATTGGACCCTGTGGTGTGTGTACTGATGTTAAATATTTAGGAATTTTTTTGTACTGATTGTTAAGCAGTTTGGCATCATGGAAACAGAGGTAGTGATATATACACCATGAAAATTGGCAAATTGTGCGTATCAGGGCATTTCTGCTGTCGTTGCTGTGAGTTAGATGGCTGTCTATAATGTTGCTAACTGCATTCTAATTGTTGACTTTGTTTCTTGCCCCTTCTTTTTCTGCCTTCTGTGATCTGGATCAATCACTTACTGATTACTCTTTTTTATTCATCTCACAGTATACAAATTATAATTCTTTATAAAGTTGTAGTAGTTTCCTGAGAGTTTCCAAAATACTTTTAAGAAACCTAAATCTACCTTCAACTCACACTATATCACTTCACATATAATGCAGGTGACTTGTAACAAAAGATTTCCAATTCCTCCATTTCTTCTGCTATGGCAATCATGCCATTCATTTCATTTATCAATATGCCAGTAACACTGAATACATTTCATTTTCATTACTATTGCTTTAAAGAAACAGTTACCTTTTAAGTTGCTTAAGAATTAAAAATAGCAGGCAGCGCCTGTGGCTCAGAGGAGTAGGGCACCGGCCCCATATACTGGAGGTGGTAGGTTCAAACCCAGCTCCGGCCAAAACAAACAAACAAACAAAAAAAGAATTAAAAATGGCTTAAATGGTATGTTATCTCAGAAAATCACCTGGGACGCTTTTTCATTTATGAATGGGAGCTAAATAAACACATGAGCATGTACCTAGAGAATAAGAGATGTGGAAGTTTGGGGCAGGGATGTGAGGGTAAAGAAATTGCTTAGTGGGTGTGATATACACAATGTAGGTGAAGCCCAGACTTCACGGCTATACAGTGTATCCAGGTGACAGAACTATACTCGTACCCCCAAACTGACAAAAATATATATTAAAAAATTGAACTTAAACAATAGGCATTTAGTATGGTTAGGTCTTAGAGCGTTGGTCCACATTTTCTCTAGTTATAAGGTGCCAGAAGCTTCCAATTCCTTTAGCGTCCTTTTTGTCTTTCCTCTTGACTCTGGATTCCCTTTGGCCTCTTCCTCAGAGAACGTCTGGTTACTAAGACTAATAAAAAAACAAAAAGGAGAGTCATGTAAATGATCAATACCAAGAAGGTAAGGAAATGACACTACGTGTAATACAAATATCAAATATCAGATAATAAAAAAATATTATGCACAATATTATGCCAGCAAGTTTGGTTATTTAGATCTAATAGAAAAAAATTCCTATGATGCACAACTTCATAAAACTGCCTCAAAAAGACATAAAATAAATAAATATCCCCATATTTATTACAGGAAAGGGAGTCATAACCAAAAATATTCCTATAATGGAGGATTTGGGAATCGACAAATAGTAAATTCTTCCAGATATCTAAGCAGAAAAGATTAGCAATGCTAAACACACTCTTTCAGAAATACTACTAGTATTGTCATACCAAAATCAAATAAAGATATTACATAAAAGAGGCTATTTCTCTCATGCAGATAACTGCAAATTTCTTTTTCATATTTAAAAATTAAACCTGTAAGTATTTAATAAGTCATTTAATAAGTAATTACGAAAAAGTGTCCTGGGAGTATAAGACTGGTTCACCATTAAAAACTCAATCATCCTTTCCTGTGTTTCCTTGAGAAGGAAACATGTATTTCCTTGTTCAAGGGGCTGCTGGCTCCATGCGTGTGGGAATCGATTTTGCTGATGGAGCTCCCATTCTAATAGATTTCATTCCAACCATTAGGGAAAATCAGTGGCGGGGGCTTTAACACTCCCCCGATTCCATTTTTATCTCTTAGACAGCAAAACTTATGGTAAGCCTTTATCCATGCACCTAAGCTGGACCATACAAGCTTGGACTATGTTTTCCTGACTCCTTTACTCCAGCTTTTCTTCTCAGAGTCTTTCTGCTGTTTCCTCGACTGATGGTTGAGTACAGAAGAGCCACGTGATAAAATCTCCAGGGTCTACAGCCAGATGAACTCTCCTGGAGCTTGTCAACCCCACAGCTGCGCCATGACACAGGCACTGACAATGAATAAATGAATAACCGTAGCTGTTTTTTATTTTAAAGTAGGTGATGTGTGTTAGTCTTGTCTCACAGACAGTAATTTGCCAGTATCCTGGGTGGGACATCAATCTGGTGGGAAATATTACTGAGGAATTTGACCTTGGGAATTAGTAATTCAGATGATAAAAGATCATACAGATTCATCCAGACATTTTCCCTCACATTAGGTGTTCCATTGGTGAGCTTTCTATGTGATGGCAAAAATGACTGGCCACTGCCTCAGAGTCAGGAAAAAAAATGACCATTTATTAGCATTTTATTGCTTCATCTAGTAAAATTTCATCTTCACAGTAGGGATTATGTAGCATTTTTCTGGATTATGTTTCTTGGTGGCAATAACTTGTGTATTGTGTATCTGTCTATTGAGAATTTACTACATTTTAAGCTTTTGCTTCCACAGGGCTATTGATGAACTTGACAGTGCAGAATGTTTTCTGTTCTGAGTTGCCCGGGGGAGGGAGAGAGAGCTGTAGGGTCCATAGCAGCAATCCTCAATCTTTTTGGCACTAGTCGCCGGTTTAGTGGAAGACAATTGTTCCAAGAATTGGGCGGGTGGCCGGGGGGGAGTGGAGCATTAGATTTTAGATTCTCACGACGAGCACAGAACCTAGATCCCTCACATGCGCAGTTTACAGTAGGAAGCGGTCAAACTATAAGAAGCTAATGCACCACTGACGTGCCAGCAGGTGGCGCTCAGGCAGCGATGCAAAGAAGCGGAGCCGCTGTGAGCACAGGCGGATCTTTGCTCTCCCACCGCTCCCCTGCGGCTGCGTGGCCGGGTTCCTGACAGGTCAGGGAATTGTCCATGTCCACGGCCTGAGGGTTGGGGGCCGCAGCACAACAGTACAGGAGGATACAGGGGCTGGTTCACTGTCCACTGCTCCCATCTCTTTGACACCTTCCCCTTTGCTTCTAATCAGTTCAAGTTTCTTTGACCAGCACTATGCTACATTTTACTTCAGGATTTTCTCATACCATGTTACCTTCACCTGCGAACTCTTACGTGGCCCACTCCACTTACTCTCTACATCCCAACGCTGAAATCTTGTCCTCAGGAAATCCTCACTTAGTCCCCAGTGACTTTGGTGAAAACTTCATGGTGCTCCCTATGGCAGAAACTTATTTTTTTTTTCCTTTTCTAATATTTATGACAACTGAAATTAAGGCATGTTTTCTACACCCTGTCAGATTTTTTCCTATGTAAGTACATTTAATTTTTCTTGAAGTAGTATCACACAATATTTTCTTTTACTATGGCTCTCAAAGTTGCTATACAATTTCCTTCCTGGGTGCCCTGCATTCATGTGACTCCTTATAAGGTTTCATATTTCTGTTACTACTAATATTCTCCCTAATGTTCTAACTGGTTAACTTGCATTGAGGGAAGTTAGGCTAAACTAGTCACATTAATGAGAAGTCACATCCAATAAAGTCCTGTCCCCTGCAGGTGATCACTGTGTGTGGCATCCCAGGCCAGACTGGATCACTGAGGAGCCCCACCCAGGCCTCTCACAACTTTTCGTATTGACAAAAACAACTTGCCCTTCATTTAAAGTGTTCTTCTCCACTGTAAGAAGACAGGATGTTGTAGAGAAAGACTATTAAAGATGAATCCTCCTGATCCCGGGTTTCTGACAGTGAGCTGGAGCCCATTGGGAAATGCTATGGTGGTGGGAATGGCAGTCCCCAGAGTGTCTCGACCCTGCCCTGCTGACATTTGGGATGTTATAAAGGCGTCAGGCCTCATGTGTTCCTACCTGCTGTGACAGTACTAAACATTATTTTGAGGAACTAAACTCTGAGGAATTATGACTCTCAAAATTGCCCGGTCCACTCTGGTGTTAACTAAAAACTTTCCTATCTGTGGTTTGCAGTCAGCACCGTTTTCCACTTCAGTGCTATTTAAATTATTTATTTATTTCTGTGCACTGACACTGTGCCCTGATAAGAATAAGACTACAATTTATGATTTTGTAAATTTCCTTTTTTTTAGCAAACTTTGTATTAACTTTATAATGGTAAATTGACCCTTTGAATTCTGAGTTTTGATGCATTTTTTTCATTACTTTAAACATGTATACAAAAATAGAAATTTAAGAGGCTTCACACATCTGCCTTGACTCTGGTTAAATACAAAAAAAAAAAAAAAGAGGCTTCCAATGTAAGTCTTATAAACTGAGAACAGACAACGTTGTTGTTTTAGAGATTTCCTTTTCATTATAACCTACTTAATCACATACAAAATTCTTTCTAAATTCTTATTCACAAACCTTCATGACTTAGCAATGCTCTCAAAATCCACCTCTCTAACACTATTTTTTTTTTTTTTGAGACATAGTTTTACTCAGTCACGCTGGGGTTGAGTGCTATGGCATCATAGCTCACAGCAACCTCAAACGCCTGGGCTCAAATTCTCTTGCCTCAGCCTCCTGAGAAGTTAGGACTACAGACGCTTGCCACAACATCCACTTATTTTTAGAGACAGGGTCTCACTCTTGCTCACACTGGTCTCGAACTCCTGAGCTCAAGCAATCCTCCCACCTGGGCCTCCCAAAGTGCTGGAATTACAGCCATGAGCCCCCATGCCCAGCCCAAAATTACAACTCTTATGCTACTCCTATAATTCACTTCTTAGGGATCATTCTGTCACCAAAAGTTCTCCTGCTTTTCACACATGTAGACCCCTTTGTCTCTTGCCCTGGCTGTGACCCCAGTTCAGGACTTGCTCTCCTGCCCTGCTCAGTGACCCTCACTCCTGGCCACAGCTCCATACATCTGTAAATCTTGGGCTTGGTGTTATGACTGAGGTCACTGCATAGTGGTTCAGTATTTCTTACTCACAAATTTCCCTTTTTTCTCCTATGCTATCATACAGAAGCCAAAACCACGGGCCAAGCCTCAAGTAAACACCAGAGCAAATCATCTCCAGAAGGGCCCAATGACAGTGATGGTACTGAGTACAACAGATCCATTCGAATATGAGTCCTCAGAAAAGGAGAAAAAAACAAGGTTTCATGCTACAGTGGCTACAGAGAGAAACTTCTTTCATATGAAGGTTTTAAATATCAACCTAAAGAAAAACATCACCAGAAATAGAATCATTACTATATCAGATTATTTGGAATATGACCATCTCCTAGAGGTAAATGAAGCCTCTTCTGTATCTGAAGCTGGTCCTGACCAAAAGATTGAGGTTCCAAAAAACATCATAAACAGAGCAAAGGAAACCCTGAAGATTGATGTTCTTCAAACACAAGCTTCGGGAACTGTTGTATATGGATTATTCGTGCTAGGTAAGGTCAATTGTTTTGTTTCATTTCTCACTGATGCCTGAAACTAAAAGACTTTTGTGGTACTAAATGGAGTTCGCCTATTTACTGAACATTAGAACCCAAGACTCTCACAAGACTGATGATAAGCTATCTCCTATGATCAATAGCTCACCACACAGTATATTTGTCTTCTAGAACAACCCCTTATTTTGCTCACACTATCCTTATTCTCAGGATAAGACTGGAAATTAAGGAACCTACTAATATTCTCCCTCCCATGTTTTCTTTCTCAAAATACTACCTTGTACCTTTTAGGTAAAGGTTCACCAAGAGACCTTGAGACTTCATCAGCAATGACTGTGTTTTCTAAGCCACAATGATTAAGGAAAGTATGGGCCTCAGATCCATATACACTCTACTCAATTTATTTTTTATCATTACCCCAACTATGGCAATAATTAGTATATTTTCATTTTGGATGAAGTATTTCCCTTTGAGGTTTGAGTTATGGTTTTTACCATCAGAGCAAGAAGTAAATTAACTGATTAAGCTTGGAAAACAAAGGCCATCAAGAATCAGGATGATGATCTAACCAACGAGACTCGTTCATCAAAGAGATATTGAGCAATTGAGAAATATCAATGTAGGTATCTTAGAGAATGAGGTAATCCAGTCTCAACACTTACATATATATTATAAACAGAAAAAGAGCACAGAGTGGATTTCCAGATACAACAGGGTCCAAAATCATGAATTTGGCTGTCATAGAACATGTAAACCCAAGAAACCATCTCTACCCTGCTATTGAGTCACATAATATCTCCTGCGCTCAATAGTTCACAACACAGTATATTTCTTTTCTAGAACAACCCCTTATTTTGCTTGTACTACCTCTGTCCAAACTCTTAAAGTGATGATTGTTATAAGCGAAATTCTGGAATAGATGAGCACCTTCCTTGGTGGGTATGAAACTAGAAAGTTCGAGCTCAAGGACCTGAATTCAGGAGGGGGATGAAGACTTAGTAAATGAAGAAGGTAGAAAAAGTGATTTGGGAGTTTCTAGAAGATTGCTTCTTATTCCATAACACCCAAATCATACTGAATAAATAGTTACAGCAGATGGCCATCTTTTTTTGCATAGGGAAAAGGATAAAAAAAGCCTAACTCAGATTTCATATTCCTCTGCTTAAAGGTGCTTTGGGAAACACAGCTGTCCTGGAGATGAAAATTGTAGAAATTAGGAAGATAACCCATTGTTCCATAACTGTCAGAGAAATACATAGGACATGAAAGACTTAAAAGGGATAATAAGGAAGATCTCATTGAGAAAACCTGGTGTAAGGAGCCTGTGTGTCTTTACAGTTCTAACACTTGCTATCCTGAGACTTATTTTAACCCATCACAGGGGACTTTCCCATCAGCGTGGTTGTTATTAACTATGTTCTCTGGAAATGGATATTAATTTTCTGTTGCAGAAAACAGTGAATAAGAACAACACAGTCTATGAAACTGATGATGATACAGGAAACACAGAGTAGTAGGGAAAGGAAAATGTCACAAAATCCCCTGTGAGGAAGGAGATAAACTTGAACTCATCTGCTTTCGACTGAGAAAAAAGAATCGGATGTCAAAACTGATTTCTGAAATACATAGTTTCATTCAGGTGAGAATTAAACAGAGGAAATATTAGTTCCCAAAGAACATATTCATTTAGATTAAGTTTATCAAAAACCAGATTTCTTCTTTTTTGTAGATAGAGTCATGTAGAAGGCATGAGAAAACAGATGATGCCCTTGGACTTGTATTTCAATACAGAAACATATCAGAACATATGAAGACAGTGACATTATTATAGGCTTTATTGGGTTTTGAAAGTAGTGCTAAATACTAAATATTTGAAGAAATTAGGAGGTTGTGATATTAGTCTCACATAGTTGTGAAAAGCGAGGGATTTGGAGTAGGATGGACGTGGTCTGCATATGGCTCATTTGTTGTATGATATTGGGAAGTATCTTAAATGTTCCTCATCAGCTGATTTTAAAATTAATGAAATTATGGATGTGTATTTCTTATCTCAGGGCCTTGTAAATTATGAGCAACATAATTCCTCATAAACATGTAGTAGCTACTGTTATTCTTAGCAAGGTAAAGATAAACTTTGGAAAGACTTCTAGGCAGAGAAAATATCAAATACAAAAAAAAATCAAAATCGTAAAACAGCATGTAATTTCTGTACAACTCTGGTATGTGTCAAAAGGTATGGGCATTTGATGGGAAATTGATAATAAGCAGTCTCTGCAGAGGTGCCCTTTGTCATAAAGACAGAAAGGGATTCTTTATCATTAAAAAAAACAGTAAATGTTGAAAGATTTTATACAGAAGAATGCCTAATCATTTTACATGTTACCAAAAAATATTTTGGCAATTGTCTGCACAGTATATTAGAGACAGGCTATGTTTGAAGATAACTAACATTTATTAAAACCTAATAAAAGATGATATTCTCAGAAGTGAAAAGATACTGTGCTGCTTCTAATGTTGAAAACCATTTAACAGAAAAATAAATACTTTCAGGTAAAGCTCAAAGCAAAGCAGAGGAAATCTGACTCCAAGACCGTGAATCTACCCAAGCAGCAGAGTGTGGTTCCCAACCCTTCAGTGACCAGCACAATCCCAGTTCTCACTCAGAGGCATTCCAGACTCCTCAGATGCAGAGTGGGGTTCCCAGACATTCAGTGACCAGCACAATCCCAGTTCTCACTCAGAGGCATCCCAGACTCCTCAGATGCAGAGTGGGGTTCCCAGACATTCGATGGCCAGCACAACCCCAACTCTCACTCAGAGGCATCCCGCAACTCCTCAGATGCAGAGTGGGATTCCCAGCCATTCAGTGGCCAGCACAACTCCAGTTCTCACTCAGAGGCATCCCGTGACTCCTCAGAAGCAGAGTGGGATTCCCAGCCATTCAGTGGCCCGCACAACCCCAGCTCTCACTCAGAGGCATGTTATGACTCTTCAGATGCCTCCAACAACCACATCCAGCAGTTCCTTAATGAAGGTACAATTTCCTCAATCCCATTCCTCTTGTCTCCCAACTATAAATTACAGGGATCATCAGAATGTTGAGAGCTTCTCCTCTCATCCCTAGCTGTGTATAGTTTCTTTATGAAACTAGATCACTAATACATTTATTGAATGCACACATTGAAATTTTACCAGAGCATAGTCATTTGCTCTTTTTAAAGTGCTATTTTTCAGGTGTGCATTTATGAAATGATGTATCTGGTTGACCAGGTGTTGACCTCACGAAGGTGAGTATCTCATGTTGGTGCATCTGTAAAGATAGGGAGGGGACATAGTCAGACAGGTGTAGGCTAAGACGAGTGTGTATTCAGACACTGCACCCTTTATCCTTTTCCTTACAGGTAATAGTTCTGAATTTATTTCCAACCTTTCAAATTCCTTCTATTATTACTTGTCTTCCCATATGTTGATTCCTTGTTGGAAATCCATTTCTGTCACATAATCATTAGCACAAATCTCTAATTTCAGGTCCCATGTTAAGATTTGTTTTCTCGGCTCGGCACCTATAGCTCAACTGGCTAGGGCGCCAGCCACGTACACCTAAGGTGGTGGGTTTGAATCCCCAGCCCGGACCCGCCAAACAACAATGACGGCTGCAACCAAAAAATAGCCAGGCGTTGT